AATAATGTTGTGGGTTTTTGGGGGAAGGGCTGGCAAGTGAGTGCATTTCTTCGGCGTCCTTTTATTTTGCGGAAATCGTATGAAAAAACGTTCCATTCCTGGCCTGTCAGAATATCTGGAGTCACTTAATTAGAACTACATGTACCATAAGCACAGTGTTTAGTTGTCCCTTTTTTACACTAAATTCGATTTTCAACTTGTTTCCCTCTTACAAATGTGTATAATAAAATATTGCGTGTAAACAAGTGTATAAGTCAGCAAATGTGTTGGGTAAACTCTATATTAGAAAAATGTTAAAGGTGGAAGCGTCCATACACATTGCCAAATTCAGTAACGTCACATTTGTATTAAGCGCAGTGGTTTCGTCTTTTTATTTCTTTATTCGCCGCGTATCTTTTTTAACGCGAGTGTAAATTCAAAAATACGTCTGTACGGGTAATAGAGAGGGAATAATAAGTAATGCAAAAATTACAACATCTGGAATATACTATATCCATATACGGACACTGCGCTGATGCAGTACCCCTTTAAATAGATGGACGATGAATACGATAGTCATCATTGTCTGTTCTTTTTGGTCTGGTTAAATATTATGAAGTCAGAAAAAGCTACCTCATTACAGGAAATCAACCAGATGGGCAATCCATTATTTTTTACGGAGATCAGAAAATATTATTCGTCGAATGGACAAAAATGTGAAAAAAACAATGTTTTTTGCACAAAAAGATGTTAAGAAAATTTGAACAAATATGATTAGCATACGCATGTGAATGCTTTATTTACATTGCAATAATTTTCAATACTCGCAAAATTAATCGTGTCATTCCACAGTAAATCATGCCACTTTGTCAGTCTGCTTTGCAGCCGAATGAGAATATGTAGGCTTTTTTTATTAATAATGTAAGCGAATGCGTATATTTCAGTATAAGACACTTAGAGCATGACACCAAGAGTTATAAATTCGCCCCACACTTTTCCAATTAAAAATTCTTCTAGTCTTTAACAGAGTATTTTGTATTGTTAAACTCACTTTACATTAAAACATCTTGAGATATATTTGAAAAGGAGAAAATTCCCGAGAGATCAATGTTTCCATTGCAATATCGAAAAAAAACCATAAAAATGGGTAGTCTTTCAGGATGGAAATTATAAATTACACTAACGGTTGTGATGTAATTGTAATTACATATAATGTAAGATAAAAGGAACGTCAGCTTTCGGTGCGCCTGGATGGACAACTATCTCTTGGTCTATCTAGGTAATTTAACCCTTTTTGATATTATCAGATAACACATACATGTTTACGTATTATTATAGAGAGTATTATGTATTCAGGTAAAAAAAAGATAACAAATATTTAAAATGACTACATGTACGAGTATTTAGTTACTGTCGTGCATTTATCACGAATTTTTGCATAATTTCAACTTTGGGCATTTAAAAGTGTGATTATTTTGACAGTCTATATCATCTAGCTACAGTCCTGCCTATTTACAGTGGTTGTCAATAGAAATAATTGTCATAATTTCAATATTAGTTTTTTCAGAAAGAACACCAAGTGAAACTTTCCTTTTCTATATTCTTACAGTGTTTAACCTGCTGAATTCTTGTGATAGATTAACTCAGCTTTAAACTAGCACACCTCCAGATTCATGTTAATTTTCTTGAAAATTTGAAAATGTAGTTAACAGTATATTATTGTAAAGTTACCAAAAGAATGCAATTTACACATTATCAATGGCAAACAACCTAGGTAAATTACTATAAAGAGGTCAAAATGTGCAAAAATAGTCCTTACTGCGTTAATAACGCAGTAGAAATATAGTTGTACATACTGGAAAATTCGGTCATTAATCGCACATAACATGTACATTTTAACAGAATTCTTTTAATCTTTATACCTTTCCTAAAATCTTAGTGCATTTTCCCCAGGTTTCATTTTATCGAAATATTTTTGCTCACCTGGAGGCGTGCAGCTTTAAAATTGGAACATTAAATTGTATGAATGCACTCACTTGCCCGAATGATAATCACTTTTCATACCAACAGGTCAAGGTTATAAACTTTATCTTCCTGGATACAAGTTTTATGTATTATCGATTCAAAAGAAGTCTCCAATGACAAGATATACCATCTAAAAGAAGCAGGGCACGTAAAACAAACAAAAAATGACAAATTTAAACTGATACTATATTCTCCGGACTAGTTACTACATTCTGCAGATTATTTGTACTATTGTATTACATTAATTTCCTTATTAAATTTATAAGTATTATGTTGTTTTTACATTGTTAATATCGATTTAACTCTATCAAAGTATACAGTTTGCCTATGGTAAGGATTGTTGATGAATAAATGCAAGTATAGTGCATAAAAAGATGTTCCGGTTTCGATTGCCGATTATTACCAAATCGTTTCTCCATAGTCTTCAGTTGTTAAATGATTCACAAAGAGGAGTACAGTAATAAGCTTTAAAAATAAGTTGCAGCAACAAATTGCCAACAAACAACAAAACAAACTTACCGATCTTAAAATGAATCTTGACAAGTTCTTTGAAATGCTACAGCTACAAAGTCATCTTTTAGAAAAATCCACAGGATTTAAATATTAAACTTTTGTCAGAAAGCGTTCATTATAAATTAAACAAACAATCAAAGTGTCACAATTAACACTTTGTTCAATTATGCAAACATTAACTTTAAACCGTTGGATAATATGGTTTAACCTGCTTATCACTGAATCGTGTCTTTTAAGCACAACATGTTTTATAATGATTATTGTCCGGACTGAGAATCCCCTTTTAAAGAACAAGAAACAAATTCCATCATTTAAAGGAAAAATGTCGGCAGGAAATACCAAAAGGGGGCGCATACGTACACCCACACATATTGTCTTACTGTTTTATCACACCTTTTTAACAGATTCTTTATGATATTTCTCTCTTTTATCATACTTAGACCTTTCATGATTATCAATGCATTCTTTCTATTGTACAAAATACAGTGTCAACTTTAGTGCCCATTTTTACAGTATCGTAAAGTAATCAAATATTCATTTCTTCTTCTTCTTCAAGTAACAGATAAAGACATTTGATATTGTAAAGTAACAATTATGTCCATACTTATCTTCAACAGTTTGTTAAATACAAACAACTGTAACATTTACACTTATAAAACAAGGGTTAAGTTTTTATCGGTTAATCATGCAAAAATTAATATGTTTTTCAGAAAAGTACATATACCCACTTGGTACCTTTGTGTCGTACCAAATGATTGTCACGAACAAGATGTGAATGTAAAACAAAATTGAAATCCAATTTATCCATTCATTTTATTTGAAAAGAATCATATAAAAAAGCAAGTTGCTAATCATATTAAGAGCTGATATCCAGACATGAGGTGAAATCGTTCGTTTTTTTTTTCTTTAGATAATACTTTATTACTCGACTAGCTTCAAACAGATACCAAATACCACATGGGCATTAATAGCATTACCTTAAAAAACCTTACCTTACCTAACTTTACAACCGAAACAGGAAGTTAGACTGTGGGGGCAATTTCATGCCCACATTATTGAAATAATATTAATTCGTTGAGGTATGTCGAAACGTATGAGGAATAATCTGTGACGACTTAAACTTTTCTACAATAACTGTTTAAAGTGGTAGGAAGGTATTCACCAAATATCTGAATGCTTATCAGTTACAATAAAGTCCTTATGAAAAGTGTTTAGTTAATTAGCTAAAGACAATTTTCAAATAATCAAAATGTGTATCTGTTACTTTAGAACAGCTTAACCGAAACTATTGTATAAAACTTTGATATCGGCATATCAGTTTGTTTATCTTACATAAAAAATACAAGGACAACGAAAATAACTATGAAAAAAGCATTTAAATTGACAATTTTATTAACAGTAAATAAACATGCTAGATAAGCGTTGCCATGTACCACAATGAAAGGACAAAACAATGATTTTATGATAATATAGCCACAAATGTAGAATAAAAGCATGATTCTGTAAGTAAAAGACCAAAAGAAAACCACGCTAGAAAGTACTACCAAAAGACAAGCAGATAATGGTAATAATATCAAAGTGTAAACCATGTTACTTCAAACAGTACATTCAAATCGTCATGTTTTATTAGCTTAAATAAATATGATAAATTGAGAAAAGTATTTTCATTTATGACGCTAACTTAGATAATAAATTTATAACTAACTAATCGTTTCAATGAGTGACAAAGAATTATAAAAAATAATTCATTTATCTGCTCATAATTAAAACTATGGCCCTTACTGGTGGTATGTGAATCTGGTTATTAAAAGGCAGTTTCATCATTTTGTTTTGATCTCGGAAAGTAAAGCTACTCTTAATTGCAAAGCATGAATTAACATAGATACACGACACTTTTAATGATCAAACCATAAAATTTCCAAAGAAACGATATAACGATATAAAGTATATGAAAAATATGTTTTGAAAATATGAAATTTCACATCATCTCAAAAAGGTTGTTTTATTCTCAACATTCTACAATTAGCAAGAGGGGGAGAGAGAGGAGGGAGGCGGGAGAGAGAGAGAGAGAGAGAATACAATTATAGTCTACTATAGACAACTGTATTCAGTGTATTAAATAAGCCGCTAAGTCATTAAGATTAAGAAAACATATCAATAAGTAAATCACAGGTTAGGTTTGATTGAGTTTTTTAATGGTAGATAATAAAAAGTGAAACCTCAAATTATGTGTTGAAAGCATTTTCCCAGAAGACCATAGAAATAAATTACGTATAAATCCGGTTTCAAATTATAACTTTAACCAACTCATTTTTGAAAGACGATTTTTCACATTGAAAACTGGTAAATGAAAGGAAGGAGACGATCGCGTTATAATAAATAACAAATACTCCTTCTCCAATTGTACGATTTAATGCAACAATAGACGATTTATCGATTTAGAATTCAGAGCATAGACATATTCTGTGAAAATATTGACTGACCTGATTGTCTGCAGTCTTCGCACATCTGCAAAGTCTGATCATCGCGCATCTCTCACTAATCTCTATCAATGATTGTATTGTCTTATGAGGAATGTACTTCATTGTTTGTAAGAGGGTGGAAATATCGGTTAAAGTATTTAAAGCGTTCGGTAGGACATTCGGTAGGAATCTTTGGCAGGAAATACCAAAAAGAAAGCATCTACCCATACAAGTCATCGGATTACACTATTTAACAATGTGAGAAATATTTTGACATACCTTATATAACCAATTGTTTCATCGAATTTGACTGATATACATTATCGTCTTTAAATCCGCGTTCAATATGAGCATTATTCGTACATACAAATGATAATGGTTGGTGAAAGGCTGTCATTTCCACAAACAAAAACTGAACAAATACTAAATATATCCGAAATTGACTACAGTGTATAAAAGCATACCAAGCAATTGTGTTTATAGATTGTTCTTTTTATTTAACAATGAATGCCTGTTGTTTTCTAGCATGAAAATATCACATCTTATTTGCATATTGCGCCGCTTATGTGCATGTTTAAGATAACCGGGATATTTCAAAGCTATTAATAATATACACGTCAATGTTAGTTTCTGTTGGGATTACTCAAATTATGATAATAAATAGTGTTGGTGTCAATAAAACAACGGACGAATATTTAATATTATTTAATACAAATCCGTCTTTTCAAAATGTTACATTGATTTTGCATTATGTATACCAAATCAAATACACGTAAACTTATATGGAAAAAGAAAACAAACAAACAAATTAACAAATATCCTATTGTATATGCACTTAACCTGGCAATTTATCTGACGCAAAGGAAACTTATTTCATAATTAATGCAGAAAGGGGTTGTGTTTCATTCAAATCAATTTTCTGTCCTTAAAAGAAATGTTCAACTAAATACAATGTTCATGAAATATATCCCTGCATAGCCACTTTAATATAAACTACAACAGTTAAGATATATAAAAAATTCTTATACATTTATAATAGTTCATTAATTCTATGATTAAATACTAATACATTCCTAATCTTCAAATAATTGTATGCCTTTTCATTATTTGTGTATGTATATACATGTACATGTATTTAAACTCCTTCGATCATGATAATGCTTTACATGCCATATTAAACCTTCTGATGGCATTCTAGGGCTGCCATGAAGTTAAACAAAAATATTGGGAAACAGGAAGTTGAAAAATTTATACAATGAAACGCCTACTTGAATGATAGTAAATAAAAAAGTTATTGTTATTTTGAACCCAAGTTTGAAATTTCCGTAACGGGTCAGATAAACGCTGAAAGAAGTAGAATCTATTCATGTCGCCCACGCAAACAACTCCGATACCGGTACTTTTCCGATTAATTACTAATAACATAAAAATCTGGAAACAAAGTGATCCCTCGGAAGCATTAATCACAACAAAATTACAAGCGAATTGCAGACTCGGTTTGATTGAGTCTGTACATGAGGGATAATCAGTCGAAGAGCATAAAATACCAGCTAATGTACATGTAAATCGGTTAAAGGTTTTCTCTCTATAAGTCTATTCCACTTATAACGTGATCCATTTTAACGATTTAGCCTGATCATGGACGGGAATTGAAAGTATAAGCACCCTAGCACCGGCTTAAGCATTATTCAAAATTAAAAATGAAATAATAAAATTTGGAATTTAGAAACAGTTTCCATAAGGCAGTTATAATGGAACCTTTCTATTCCATAAAAGCGGCGTATGGTCATAGAATAGACCTTATAGGGACCAATTAGCCTTTATTATAATACAAGACCTGATTAATGCTGCCGAGGGATCACTTTGTTTCCAGAATTTTGTGATGTCTAAAAAGTAAAATGCTAATGTTCATTATCCAAGTATGTCTTGTGTGCAGACCATAGTTAATGATTTGGGCAAATCTGATGGAGGTCTAGTAGACCATGTTTCACCTAAACTATATCAAAAGAGCCACCAGACGGGGATCCCTCTCGACTTTTTCTTTCTTTGAAGGTCAAACACATTGAACAAATACTATTTCAGTAAAGAATACTATCAAATTTCATATTTGGCCTTGACGGGTCAATGTTACATTTGAATAAATCATCATTGCCAGTTTTGTAATGGTTGATCTTTTGTCCAAGAATGAACAAAATCCATATATAATAAATGAGTAACAAGTTATAACAATTTAATTAAAGGTCAATAATTTGACGTTGAAGGTCAATCAAGGGTCAAGATCATATCTGAATAGTTCAACATGAATGTTTTTTGAAGATCTTTTGTCCAGGTATTACTCAAATCTGTAAATAATTTAAGCAAATTTCATTAATTTTACCTTGAAGGTAAATGTAAATTAAAGGTCAGTGTCATTTAAGAGTATTTAACATATCGGTTTTGTCGAAAGATTTCTCTTGTCTATGTTTATATCAAATCCGAAAATAAGTAACAAAGTTATTATAATATAAGATGAATGCAATATTTGACATTGACAGTCAAGTTCATATAAAGGTCAATGTCTTATTTGAAGAAATTTACGTGTCATCTTCGTCATAAGTGTTCTTTTCCCAAGTATTAATCAAACCCATAAATAAATAACAAAGATAAGTTCACTTGTTGCGATATTCAATAATTTGACCTCAAGTGTCAAGGCCAAATTAAGGCAAGGTCAAGTTTCATTAAACCTTCTTTATGTCATTTCCCATAGATTTATGTCCCCAAGTATGAAGACAATCTACTATTTCTTACAAATTTATTGTAAATTAAAGCAAAAACTGTGAATTTACAATATTTTGAGTGTCAAGTTCAATGTCATTTCAATTTGAGGTCAAATTGGGGTTCATCTGCTTGAGTCATTGTTTGACGGTAGATGTGCTCAAGTATGTAAACATCATAGAAAAAGATCAAATTTGAAGACAATCCATTCATAAATAACACAGTTATAGCCAATTATAAATAAAATCAAGCAATATTCAAATACTTGACCTTGAATGTCAATGTCATTGGTGCGTCAAGTTCAGTCTGGTCAACTTGAAGGTCTTGTTCAAAGGGTTGTTGTGTCCAAGTATGAAGGCTATCATTTGAGAAATAAAATAAAATTGACCAATCGCCAACGGCAACGACAACGTCAACGTCAATATGACTGTAGCAATCGCTTTTTTTCCGAAAAAGTCGAGCTAACAAAAATGTATGCGTGTCTGAGATTGCCAATGGCAAATTTTGAACCCGTGATCATTATTAGTAGAACCTTAATAGAAACCTTTCAAAAGATGATATGCACGAGATATCAAATCTATTTATATGTACTGTATATCGTTTAAGTAAATCCCATCATACCTAATCAGTCAGAAACTAATTTTTCATTTAAGAAACGTTATTCTTGTCTTTATTGATAATTATAAATCTTTAAATCATATAGATCTCAGTTATATTTATATAATTCCCATTATGTCATATGCATGTAATTAACTTCTTCTTTAAATAACAATGTATCGTATAAATAATCATGTAGTTTGACATTCTTTTATCATCATTATTATTTTAAGTAGTCCTAGTTTTCGACCGATAAACTATAAAGTATGTGAAACTTCCGTTTCTTTTGATATATTCACTCCAGCTCCTGTAACCTAGATAAACAACGAACCAAAACCATAACATTAGTAAACCTTTTATGAAAAGAATATTGAAATTTTAACATTTCTAATGGTTAGTAGGGTAATATGGCGTGTACATCCTTTTTTTTTAATAACATACTTACACATAATTATGAATGTATAACCTTTTAATCTAACAGAAAATTTGTACATGGAGTCTCAAAGTTTATCTTGTATCTTAGTTTGGGGAGATTTCTGTTGAAAATGTGTCAGAGTTAAATCGTATATACATGCACAGTGCGTTAACTGGAGTGCAGGTATTAGTAACCCGCACTCCAGACCATGCTCCATTGGCTCATTTTGCCGCGGTGTACTTATTGTGATGGCAGAGAAAGGGAAAGCTACAGAAATATCATATTCAGATGCTCGTTCATTGGTAACCTTTTTCTGGGGTTTCATGTTGTGACAACAGGGAACGTGTTTTTATGCTTGATATGATACAAAGAGAAAGAACATCAAAACACTCGGCAATCTGATTTATACTCGGGGGCTACGCCCCCTCGTACAAATCAGATAACCTCGTGTTTCGATGCTCTTTCTATTACTTAATGATTATCACAAACAAGGAGTCAATGAATAATTCGTGCAAAGATGATATTTCACATTTTTCTTTGTTCTCGCATTATAGCAATTTATATATGTATGGAGCAAACCAGAATGTCATCTTTTAATAAATAAAAACCATGTATATTTGCACCTGGTGATTAAGAAGAGTCGACATTTTCTCTAAATAGTTGAAAATCTTCCAAATGATTTAATGAACTGTTTCTACAAATAAACTTTTGGTTATATCATATACATTTTATGGTAGCAAAAGTCATTGTTTAATAGAGTGTTATGACCTAAATAAAAGAAAGTTAAGTATATTAAGTAAATCAATATGCCCGTTAACGTACTAATTGAAGTATATTGAACCTTTGACAAAGACAATGTAATAAAAATTATTGCGGTTATATTGAAAATAGGGCCAAAAATGAAACCTTTATTTTTAAAATGAAAATATGTACATGCATGTTTAAAATTGATATGTTAAGTCCTTTGCTGTTAACAATGAAATGTATTCGAAGCTTATAACTAAAATGATCAAAAAAGTATCAATTCTTACATAGTTAATCAACTGATACGTATACTTTAAAAGGAAAAATATATAAATTAATAAGAAATACACCTATACATTCAGACTTGAGTAAAAAAGAGTTAAGTGCTGTTTCTTTCTTTTTATTTTTTATTTTTTGTTATTAAAAGCAACAGTGAACGAATGAATTGATACTTTGTGCACACCTTATTTGTCAACACCAACATCAAATGGTACAAAAATCTCGAGTCCCTGCAAGACCTCATTGGAGTCCCTTTAAGTACATTCAATTTCTAAACCTAACATAAATATTTCAATGTGAGCATGTCAGAAATTCCTTTTTCTCTTTTTTTTCTAGTTGATTTATCATGCAAAAGATGACGTTCAAGGATATAGAATGTATTTAATTTAAATTATAATCATGGGCAGTGTAAAGTAACAGCTGTGGTAAAATGTTACACATCAATAATGTATGACAATATGCATAAACAGCAGTGTACATATGTGTATATCTTTAAATGCTTACGTATGAGGTTAACGACAATATATGAATTAATATGCAACATTTAATTTATGTAAAAGTATACTCCTGTTTGAAAATTTAAAGTCCTTTTTGTCCAATAGGATTGTAAAATTAGTAAATCGACTTTTAATCTATGTAGAAAATATAGTACGAAATAGGAGTAAAAAACAAAGTTATTGTGTATCTATCTATCCATTAGTAAGCAATTACAATTTGAAAATGTTCTATTTAATTGTGTAAATCAATCAATTACAACTATCAATTCTTTATACGGAAAATACTTTTTTTAAAGAAATTACAATAAATTTAATTGCATGTATATACTTACATGAATATATATCCCTAAAAAAGTCCCGTCAGTTTTGTTACAGTGCACATTCTTCATTTCTGGTGCAGTTTATGGAAGAGGTAGCTAATATCACACAACATAATCCAATAGATACAATATTACTGTATTTGGTATGATTAACTAATGACTTATTTACATTTGCCATGTATTGTTATGATAGCTAGTTTAGTATTGTTTTAACGAACTAAATAAACCTTTTCCGCTTATCTATAATACTATATATATAAACACTCCGACAATGGTTAAGATGACGTACATAGTCTATTTACTCTTTTAACAGCGCATCAAGCTACTTTTCTTGTGATTTAAATCCATAAAGAACCAGTTCTTGTCGTACATTTAGTCTGCAGAGTTAAAACCTAGTACATTAAAGCGTTACTGTTTTTATCAACCCTTATCAAATTCACAATGACATGGTATAAAGCTTTATAGTTACTAGTCTTAAGTTTCGAATAAGATGAAAAGAAGTAAACATGTAAATGAAGTCACACTATTTTACTCTTCATTAGGCCTATAACGTGTCTGATATTTGATTCCTAGAATTTTGATAACGCTCACGAAGCTTAACAACCCTTTACGTATTCTATCCGAAGATATCTCGTCTATTTAAATTGGGTGTTAATTCTTTTCCGCCTCTGTTAATATAATGAAAAGAAATAGTAATTTTGCATAATTTTTTATTTTCACGGTTTAAAGCGGTGTTAATTAACAAGTAATGAATAAAATCTATGATTGTTTAAACTATTATACGAGTATTCATGATAATATTTTACAAATGCGTGTTTGCTTCCGTAAGATAATATTATATACTGAGTGTATATCAATTTTTTAAGATAACATTACACTTTTAAATTTTAACATGATGTTAAATCATAAAGCTAGCATTATTTCGTAAAGGTAACCTTGAAATTGAAATAGAAAACCCGCAAATTTACGTACTGTGTGTTGTTATTTGAGTTGTGGTTTTAAAACGAGATAAGATCTGTTTGCATTGTTTGTAAACATATAATGTTGTTTATCAACTGTAGCCATGAAATAAAACTATCAAATGATATAAGTAACTAAAATAAACTTCTACTTCAAATGATGCACGACATACGTGTGAAACAAAGAAAGATTATGAAAATACATATTTGATCATTCTCCTCTGTTCTAATTTAGAATTATATAAACATTTAAAACCTAGCCATGAATATATTTACCTAGGAAAGTAAGAAATATTCTAAAGGATTATCATTAAAATACAAACTCACTCAAACAAGTTGTTACCAGGAACATTATGCATGCATGCATCTATCTATTAATGCCCCTTCATGTGACGATTGTATTACAATTTGTCACGTAACGCTTGACCTGTACTATGTTTTGATTCAAATTCTCGGAAGCTAAAAAGAATTGATAAATAATAATTGTTTTTGAATATCTCAAATACGCAATATTTTATGATCGATTGACAGAAAAACGTTACAATACAGTAGTGTCAAGTTTCCAGTTTAAGTTTAATAATATAATGTCATTTAGTGGAACATGTACCTACAATTGCAAATTATGTTAGGCTGAAAACACAATAACTTGATTGACGAAATAATATAGTTTACAAGTTCATTTTGTGAAAAATAAGCGGGTCTAATGCACTAAAAGTTAATCGTATCAATTCTAAATATAGACATACTATCGAAATATATTATGTCATAGTAATTGTGAAATGCTCATTATTAAATGACAAATTCGAAATACCAATTGTGAACATCTTTTGAAAATTACGGTACCCTTTACGATTACCCTTTGTGGCAGTTGGACTCGGCCCAGTGAATTTTCGTACTCTTCGTTCTATCGTAAATCAGTCAAATTTAAGGCTTTATTAACAACGAAAATAACTATGAAAAAGCATTTAGCTTGACAATTTTATTAACAGTAAAAAACACGCTAGATAAGCGTTGCCATGTACCACAATGAAACGACAAAACAATGATTTTATGATAATATAGCCACAAATGTAGCGAAGACAAAACTGAATAAAAAACATGATCCTGTAAGTAAAATGCCAAAAGAAAACCACACTAAACAGTACTACCAAAAGACAAGCAGATACTGGTAATAATATCAAAGTGTAAACCATGTTACTTCACACAGTACATTCTAATCGTCATGTTTTGATAGCTTTAACAAAATATGATAAACGGTATACTGTTATGAAAAGTATTTTCATTTATGACGCTTACTAAGATAATAAATTTATAACTGACTTATTGTTCCAATGAGTGACAAAGAATTATAAAAATTAATTCATTTATCTGCTCATAATTGAAACTATGGCTATTTCTGGTGGTATGTGAATCTGGTTGTTAAAAGGCTGTTACCTCGATTTGTTTTGATCTCGGAAAGTAAAACTTCTTTTTTTATTTTGTTTGATTTTAAAATATGCATTAACCCTTTCCCCCATAAGCATATTGTGAAAAATTGCCATTTTCACTGAAAAGCCTCCTCTTACATGTTCAAACTGCTATGAAACTATGAAAAATGCTTCAATACTAATCAAACTTGGCACAAATGTTAACTGGATCGTTGCCTTTGTAACGACATGCTCAGTCTTAGGTTTCCTGTTACCATGGCAACGAGGGGACATCTCAAAATTGCTAAAAATCACTTTTTTGCTTCGATTTTTTCCATCAAAATTTATTTCAAAGTACTGCAACTTCTCAAGGGATTGAGATAGAGTCAAAGGCTTTTCAGCGTTGGTTACACGTTACCTTATGATCAACCTGGGGTCATTTTAAGCCTCTCATAAGTCCAAAATTTTCTTGGCGATGAGGGGGACTCCGCCCACCTTCAAACCCCCCCCCCCCCAAACAGAAGGGGCACATCCCCCTTCTGGCAACCCCCTGATGTATTATTTGGATGGGGGACGGTGCCGAATAAATTGTCACTTTTTTTACAACATTTCTCAAAACGAAAGACAGTGTTTTGGGTCTAAATAGGACATTTTTCACTGTTTGAGGCCTCAAAAAGGGGGGGGGGCAAAAAGCCGTCGAAACACGCTTATATAAGGGTAAAGGTTAACAAAAAATGATGAAAAACCTTGGAATCACCCAAAATCTAGTTTTTCCATGTTAACATGTGGTCTTTTACCTAAATTTGGTGAAAAATGTTGTTTTGTAACATTTATAATTTTTTTAGTTAACCCTTTCCCCCATGAGCATACTGTGAAAAATGGCCATTTTCACTGAAAAGCCTCCTCTTACAAGTTCAAACTGCTATGAAACTATGAAAAATGCTTCATTACTAATCAAACTTGGCACAAATGTTGACTGGACCATTGCCTTTGTAACGACATGCTCAGTCTTAGATTTCCTGTTACCATGGCAACGGAAATCGCTCACCTGTATATAGGTCCCAAGGCCAAGACCAATTTTAAACCAGGGGCTTATATTTGAACAAACTTGGTAGACATCCATTAGAAGACGTATCGTGATAAATATCTAAGCTCTAGCTCTTTGTGTTTTTGTTTTTTTATCATTAGGAAGATGTTTTAAGTTTTTACTATATACATAGAGGGAAAAACAATGACCCCCCCCCCCTTCGGAGGGACCAATTTTGACCCCAGTGTTTTTATTTGAACAAACTTGGTAGACACTCACTAAAAGATATGTCATGCTTAGTATCTAAACTCTAGCTCTTTGGGTTTTTAAAAGAAGATTTTTTTAAGTTTTTACTATACATACATGTATTTAAGGAAAATCAATGACCCCTAGGGCGCGGCCAATTCTAACCCAAAGATCCTTATTTAAACAAACTTAGTAGACACCCATTAGAAGATGTTTTATGCTAAATTTCTTAGCTCTAGCTCTTACGGGTTTTTAAAAGAAGATATTTTAATTTTTTTCTATATACATATAGGGAAAAACAATGACCCCCTTGGGCTGGACCAATTTTTACCCCAGGGCTTTTATTTAAACAAACTTGATAGACACCCACTAGAGGATGTTTCATGCTTAATATCTAAGCTCTAGCAATGTTTTTTTTTAAAGAAGATTTTTTAAGATTTTACTATATACAAATAAGGAAAACCAATGACCCCCGGGGCGGGGCCAAATTAGACCATTTATTTGGAGCATTTATTTGGACAACTTGGTAGACACTATCTAGAAGATGTTTCATGGCAAATATTTAAGCTCTAGCTCTTTCCGTTTTCTAAAAGAAGATATTTTAAGTTTTTTTTCTTTCGGTTGCCATGGCAAGCAGAGTTCTGATTGGAATTAAATTCTTTAAAAAAAGTTGAAGTTGACTACCAAAGGAACATTCCTTTGAAGTTTTGATGAGTTTGGCTTACCGGTTTATGAGGAGATATCGTTTAAAATAAAAGTTTACGGACGGAGTCCGGACGAAAAGCGATCACAAAAGCTCACCATGTCACTTTGTGACAGGTGAGCTAAAAACATGTGACTAAGTAAATCACAGGTTAGGTAAGAATGAATTTGTCAATGGTTGATAAAAAAGTGAAACTTCAATATATTGAAAACATTTTCTTATAGGACCGTAGAGTTAATTACGTATCAATCCGGTTTCAAAGTTTAACTTTACCCAAGTCATTTTTTGAAAGATGATTCTTAACATTGAAAGGTGATGTATAAAAGGAACGAGATGATCATATTTTTTATAAATAACAAATACTCCTTCTCCAATTGTACGATTTAAATCAACAATAGACGATTTATCGATTTAGAATTAAGAACATCCTCATATTCTGTGAAAATATTGACTGACCTGATTATTTGCAGTCTTCACACATCTGCAAAGTTTGATCATCGTCAAAGAAAACACATCTCTAGCAATGATTGTATTATCTTATGAGTAATGAACTCATTTTTTGTCAGGAAGTGGAAATATCGGTCGTTCAGTAGGACATTCGGCGGGAATTTTGGCAGGAAATACCAAAAAGAAAGCATCTACCCATACATGCTATCAGATTACACTATTTAACAATGTAAGAAATATTTTGACATACCTTAGCCTTTGTTTCATCGAATTTGACGAATAAATTATTGTCTTAAAATCCACGTTCGTTCAATATGAACATAACATGCAAATGACTATGGTTGATAAAAGACATTCATTTCCCGCCAACTAAAACTGAACAAATACCAAATGTATCCAAAATTGCCTACATGTACTGTGTATAAAAGCATAGCAAGCAATTGTGTTTATGCATTGTTCTTTCTATGCCATGATAACCCAGGTATTATAATTATTTAACAATAAATGCGTGTTATATTCTACAGCATGAAAATATCACATCTCATTTGCATATTGCGCCACTTATGTACATGCGTGTTAGTCTGTTTAATGTTTGGAAGCTTATGTTTGATTTATAGAGCCGAATATGACGTCCTTTCTTTTCGGAAATTATAGTGCCGCTCTTTTTGAATGAAAGAATATTTATTTATTTATTTGAGTCTCATCTATACATTTTAACATATCATTAAAATACACAATACAACCATAAAATACAAATATAGCATTCTATAAAGAATAACAGGTGACTGTGTTTTACTTCTAAGGGTGACAACTCTCTAGACAACAAAACTGGAGTATTTTATGCACTACAGATTTTTCCCCCTTAACAACAAGAAAT